GGCAAGATTAGATTATTTATGGCTGAGTAACATTCCATTGTATATACTTACCACCTCTTCTTTATCCATTTATATGTCAACGGACACTAGGGCTGTTTCCAAAATTTGGTTATTGTAAATGATGCTGCTATAAACATAAGAGGTGCATGTATCTGTTTGAATTAGTGTTTCTGTATTTTTTGGGTAAGTACCTAATAGTGTGATTACTTGGTTGTAGGGAAGTTCTATTTTCAATTTGCTGAGGAACTTCCATACTGATTGGATTGTTTTTTGGGTGTTGAGCAATATTAAGTTCTTTATATACTTTTGATATTAACCCTTTACCAGATACATCATTTGCAAATATTTTCTCCCATTCTGTAGGTTTTTACTTTTGATTGCTTCCTTTCCTGTGCAAAAGCTTTTTATTTTGATGCAATCCCAATAGTTTATTTTTGCTTTTATTTCCCTAGCCTCAGGAAACATATTTAGAAATATGTTGCTATGGCTGATGTTGGAGATCTTAGTATTCTATTGAGGATTTTTGCATCCATGTTCATCAGGTATATTGATTGGCCTGTAGTTCTCTTTTTATGTGGTACCTTTATCTGGTTTTGGAATCAGGGTAATATTGGCCTCATAGAATGAATTTGGAAGTTTTCCTTCCTTTTCTATTTTTTGGAATAGTTTGAAAAGAAAGGGTATTAACTCTTCTTTAAATGTTGTGTAGAATTTGCCTATGAAGCTGTCTGGTCCTCAATTTTTGTTTGATGGAAGTTCTTTGATTACAGATTTGATTTCTTTGCTGGTAAAGAAATTTTCTATTTCTTCCTGCTTCACAGTTTTGGTAAGTTATGTTTCCAGGAATTTATCTATTTCTTCTGTTCTGTCCAATTTGTTGGCATACAGTTTTTCTTAACATTGTATTTTTGTGGTGTTGATCGTTATTTCTCTTTCATTTGTAATTTTATTGGAGTCCTTAAGTAATTTTATTTGAGTCCCTAAATAACCTCTACACCCCATATGTGGATTGAATCCACAACCCCGAGATGAAGAGTTGCACACTCTTCTGACTAAGCCAGCCAGGCACCCCTGCCCTGTGTCTTTTGATTGGAGCATTTAGTCCATTTACATTCAAAGAGATTATGGACAGGTATGTATTTATTGCCATCTTATTACTTGTTTCATGGTTGTTTCTGAAGTTTTTCTTTGATCCTTTCTTCTCTTTCATGGTTTGCTGGTTTTCTTTAGTAATATGTTTGGATTTCTTTATTTTTTGCATATTTGTTATTGGTATATATTGGTAACCGATTTGTGGTTACTATCAGGTTTTGTTTTTTTTTTTTTTTTAAGATTTTACTTATTTATTTGACAGAGAGAGAACACAAGCAAGGGGAGAAACAGGCAGGAGAGAGAAGCAGGCTCCCCAAAGAGCAGGGAGCCAAATGTAGGGCTCGATTCCAGGACCCTGGGATTATGACCCAAGCCAAAGGTAGACACTTAACCCACTGCCACCCGGGCATCTCTACTATTAGGTTTTTATATAACATCTTCTGCACATATGTTTATATTAAATTGATGGCTGTTTAAGTGTGAACCAATTCTTTATTCCTTTCTTCCCTATGTTTTGGGTATATGGTATCATATTTCGCATCCTTTGTGAGTTTGACTGATTTTTTTTTTACATAAATGTTCATTTTTACTGCTTTGTGTTTCCTACTTTCACAGTATCATTTCTGGTCTTTTCCTTCCACTCTAAGTGTTCCCTTAATATTTCTTGCAGAGCTGGTTTAGTGGTCATGAATTCTTCTTTTTTTGTCTGGGAAATTTTATTTTTTCTTCTATTCTGAATGATAGCCTTGCTGGATATTCTTGGCTGCAGATTTTTTCCTTTTAGCACATTGAGTATATCATGCCACTCCCTTCTAAGTTTGGAGTTTCTACTGAAAACTATGCTGAAGGTCTTTATCAGGTTTTCATTGTATGTAACTCTCCTCTTTTGTCTTGCTGGTTTTTTTTATTATTCCTACATTTTGCCGTTTAAATTACAGTATGTTTTGGTGGGGATCTGCTTTTGTTGATTCTCTTGGGGCTTCCCTGTGCCTCTTAGATCTGGATGTCTGTTTCCTTCTTCATATTAGGAAAGTTTTCAGCAATTATTTCCTCAATTTAATTTTTTGCCCCCTTTTCTTTCTCTGCTGGGATCCATATATGTTATGTTTGATGGAGTCACTGAGTTCCTTCCTCTGCTTCTTCCAGCCTGCTGTTCATTCCATTGTGCATGTTTCTCATTTTGCATAATGAACCTTTTATGTCTGTTATTTCTTATCTGTGTTAATCATGTCACTAGATGCCTTCCACATTTTTTCAGTCCAGCAAGTATCTTTATGAGCATACCTTTAAATTCTCTATCAGGCATGTTACTTTTATCTGTCTTGCTTAGATCTCTGGCTGTGACATTATCTTGTTCTGTCATTGGGAATAAATTCTATCTTCTCATTTTGTCTAAGTGTCTATGTCTCTTTCTGTGTGTTAGGAAAGTCAGCTACATCTCCCATTCTTGAGGGTATTGGCTTTATGGAGAAGAGGTTCTATAGTGTTCCACAGTATAGTCCCATATTCCCCAGAACCTGGCACTTCATGGACTGTCTCCAATGTGCACTGTGTGTGCTCTGCGATTGTATCCTGGCCATTTTATCCTTCAGGCCAGTCATCTGCGGAGGCTCTCTTTGTTGAGGGTAGTGTTTAGTCTCTGGCCTTAATGTGGCAAGTTTTGACTAAGTGTGCTCTGGCCTGCTTGTGAAATGATACCTGTTTCCACCAGTGCTGAAATCGTGGCCCCCTAAAACTCCCACAACATGAGACATGGTGTGAGCAGGGATCTGAGCCAGTCTTCTGTGAGAGGGGATCCACCACTCTGGGACTTAGACAAGCATGACCGGGAAGGGCAATTCCATTGGAGGCAGGGCAGGGGGAGGACCTGGTGTCAGCAAGTTACCTGGTGAGTGTCGGCACTGTGCTGGTTCCCACAGGTGGCCCTGTGCTCATGCTGAGAGGTAGGGGACAGAAATGATGTCTGCAACTTCCTTTGTTCTTAGAGGAGAGTCTGTGCTGCCTCTTTGCAACATACTCCCAGATGAGCAAAAAACATCCACACTATGTGCCCCAGGTGCTCTTTAGAAAGTTGTTTCCATGCTGTACGTCTGCAGGCTGTTTGCCTCCGATAGTAGCGCAATGCCTCTGAGTTCTATCCTAGCCAAGCCTGCTGACCTTTAAAACTCCAGGCTTTAAGCCCCACTGATTGCAAGAAGTCATGAGATTCGGTCCCTCTCACTTTCCAAGTCAACTACTGTGGGGATTCATCTTCCCTGTGTGCTCCCCCGTGCATTAGCCTGTCTCTTACCATTCTTGGCAATCATGGCTCCCTCCTTACCACAGTGGCCATGATCCAATTTCTCTCCCAAAACATTCATGTCTCTGCACTTCTTACCCTCTTTGATACAGTTTCTTTGCTCCCTTTAGTTATAGAGTTTGTTCTGTCAGTCTTCAGGTCGATTTCTGGAATATTTAGGTGTTCATGGGACAAGACAAGCCTAGGATCCTCTTACTCCAAACCATCTTCCCTTCCAGTCTCTTTTTATTTTTATTTTTATTTTTTTTCCAGTCTCTTTTTATTTTTTAAAGATTTTTTTTTAATTTTTATTCATTTATGATAGGCACACAGTGAGAGAGAGAGAGGCAGAGACACAGGCAGAGGGAGAAGCAGGCTTCATGCACCGGGAGCCCGACGTGGGATTCGATCCCGGGTCCCCAGGACCGCGCCCTGGGCCAAAGGCAGGCGCCAAACCGCTGGGCCACCCAGGGATCCCTCCAGTCTCTTTTTAGATAATTTTGAGAATACAATTCCCATTTGGGGAAGTTAAACTTTTTTTTCAAAATTTTTATTGTGCCAATTGAAACTACCTCTCTACTAAGTTGTAGAGGGGGATACAGGAGCCCTAGAAATGTGAGGCTGCCTGAGACACATGTGAGGTCCCTACCATACTACTACCAACACGGTCCCTGAGAGTGCCTCCCGTGACAAAACTGAACAAAAGCAAAAGCAGTGGAAGATGCTAGGGGAGGGAAGACTCTGGTGAGGACCCTACTATGCTCATGCAGGAGTACAGTAGTGCTGCACATTCACACCACAGGGATTGTATACTCAGTGTCCAGTGTAGGACAAAGATGGTGTCCAGGTACAAGGGTATGGAGACAGAAAACAGGTATTATGGATTCTGGCTCTGCTCTAAAACCACAAACTATGGATGGGAGTTAGCATTCAAGTGAATAACTGTTAATGAAGAACCCTTAAACAAAGGAGTTTTTATTCTGATTGAAAAGAAAGGGTAATTTTATGCCTAAGAGGGTAAGATGAACATAAGAGGTTGCCTAGAAGTGGAAGAGGGGACCAGAGGTGGGTTACTAGTTCAATAAGCTGACGAGAAATGGGACACTACCAACCACTTCCGCCCTGTGGTAAATCTGTCCCTGGGGTGGGAGTGAGGAGTGCAAAGGCTTTTAGAAGCCTAGAAACCTTAGCATCACAACACAAGCCTGTGCTCACATGTTCATGCATTAGCTTCCCATTCAATCCTTACGTTTTCCCCTTGAGAAGGAGTGTCACCCAGACTCATTCTCCCCCATGTAGGAAAGACTATGCCATAAATCATTCCTGGCTCCAGATAGTGGCAAATCTCAATGTCAGTGCTCACCTCTGTGGGCCTTGGATTAAAACTGAATGTGCTGGGACACCTGGGTGGCTCAATGGTTGAGCGTCTGCCTTTGGCTCACAGCATGATCCTGGGGTCCCGGGACTGAGTCCCACATCGGGCTTCCTGCGTGAAGCCTGTTCTCCCTCTGCCTGTCTCTCTCTCTCTGTGTCTCTTGTGAATAAATAAATAAAATCTTTAAAAATAAAAAACAAAAAACTTACTGTGCCACAACAAGCTACCCAGTAGCTAAGCCCCAAGGTCCCATACCTGATAAATGGCTTCATCACAAGCGTTCTGAAGGCCCAGGTTCACCATTGTGTTCTGCAGTGTGCGGCCCATGTAAAATTCCAGGGAAAGATAATAGATGCGCTAAGGAGGCAAAAGAAAGCATCTTAGATTTCTCATTCCATTCCTGCACATGAGGAGGATTAGGGTGATGAGCAAATTCATAACAGCACCTATTTAGGTGTTTCATTTAGGCCACTCACATACACCCCCAAAAGGACTTACTCTCTTTGCCAAACCTTGGCCAATCTTCAGCTTTCCAAGAATAGCCCACAGAGGACCCTTCTGATATAGAGCAAAGCCTCTGCTCACTGCCCTGCTGGATATAAGGTAGCCTCCCCCAAATAGCAGGAGGCAAAGCAGAACAGTGTTGAGGAGTTAGGCTCCCAGAATGGACAGAGCCAGGTCTGAACTTAGCTTGGCCTCTACCTGACCATGTGCCCTTGAGCAACTGACCTCTTTACATCTTTAACACAGGATAAAACAACCCCTATGAGACTTTCAAGTTTTTTTTTTTTTTGAGAGACTTTCAAGTATTAACAGCTTCTGACACCCATGTTACGTACTCAGTAAGCATCAGTCAACACAACTGGATGGATGGATGGACATATCCATTTCCACTGGGTATACATCTGAACAAGTGACTCCTGGCTGTTGGCTGGCTCTAGGGGATTGGGATATGCAAGTCTGTATAAACAAGCAGGAGGACCACCCACACTCACTGGGAGCAGAGTGGGGTTCTAAGCCCTTCCCACACATGGTACCAGTTACTCCTCACAACAACCCAGTGGGCCATGGGATGGCAGCTGCTGAGGCACACTCTGGCCTTCAGTCTTGCTCTTACACAGGACTCTATGCTGCTTCCTGACATCAAAAGTAAGGCCTAGTAAAATAAATGGGGAAGAAACGAGAAATACCCCTTCAGAAGAATTCCAATGAATGTATGCAGATGGAATGAGCAGGGCAGAAAATCACGAGAACAGCAGAGTATAACTGCCATGGCCAACAGCCACTGCTGAATGCTGAAACCAGTGGGCACAGCTTTCTAGACTAGAGGGGTATCTGCACAGCCTTCAATATCTTTCCCGGAATCCCTGGGTGGCGCAGAGGTTTGGTGCCTGCCTTTGGCCCAGGGCGCGATCCTGGAGACCCGGGATCGAATCCCACGTCAGGCTCCCGGTGCATGGAGCCTGCTTCTCCCTCTGCCTATGTCTCTGCCTCTCTCTCTCTCTCTCTCTGACTATCATAAATAAATAAAAATTAAAAAAAAATATCTTTCCCAAAATATTTATTAATTACCACGGTGATTTTAACAAATGTCCAAAAATTCTCTGATATCCTTCCCCTCAGCAGGTGGTCCCAATGCCCAACCCTGAGGGTGTGCTGAACCGGGGCGACTCCCATCTACTAAACAAAGTCTGGGAGGGGAAACTACTTCGCAGGGGAGGGACCTGGCTGATGCCACCTTGCTTAGGTGACAAGGATAACATCACCAGTGCCAAGCTGTGCTGATACGCTGGGATAAGAAGGTACTGTGCGGTATTCTTTCCAAGCCCTCAGCCCAGACTAATCAGGAAAGAACCTCAGACAGGCCCCAACTAAGGGTTGTTCTATGAACTGCCAGGCCAATATTCATCAGATTTGCCAAGGTCATGAAAGACAATGAGAGACCAACAACTGTCACAGATGGGAGGAGATTAAGCAGACATAATAACTAGGGAACCCTGAATCTAATCCAGGGACAGAGATATTAGAGGAAAAAGTGTTACAAAACTGAACAAAGTGCTGAGCCAGTGCCAGCTTATTTTGATAACCCTGCTATGGTCATGCAAGGTATTAATATTAGGGGCAGCTGGGTGAGTGCTACATAGTACTCTACACTATCTTTGTGACCCTCTGCAAATCTAATGTTGCTGCTAAATAAAAAGTTAAAAAGCAAAACCAGGCCTTGAAAAGGGGTGTGTCTGTGAGTGTGTGCACATGCACAAGGATGAATGTGTGTGTCTCAGATTCAGATGTGAATCCATAGGGAAGTATGGACTGTACTATGGTTTATCTTTCCTGCAGGCTAAGATTTTCAAAATACAATAAAAAAAATCATCTTTCCTACTGCTTGCAGAATATAGGGAAAGAATTCACTTTTCATAGACTGCTGGTGGGGCCTGTTGGGCCAGGGTTTTACTGGGATGCCCATGTAGGGTGACCTGCCTGAGCCACTTTGGGATTCACATTCTATGCAGTGGCACTCTTAAACTGTATTTTTATACCCCATTTAGAATTCTGACCAGCAGTTGACCAGAAATCTTTTGAGAAAACTCTGTGGCCATGTGCCAGCCATCCACTATTTCGGCAGTGTTGTCCTCTGGGTTTTTATAGCTCTGTTCATACCATTACTTCACACTTTAATGCAGCAGGATTTTGTTTTGTTTTGCTTTTAAGATTTTATTTATTTATGAGAGACAAAGAGAGAGGCAGAGACACAGGCAGAGGTAGAAGCAGGCTCCATGCAACGGAACAGAGTCCAGAAACCAACCCTCACATTTATGGTCAACTGATTTTTAACAAGCATGCCCTGATAATTCAGTCCGAAGAATAATCTCTTTAACAAATGGTGCTGGGACAACTGGATATCCACATGCAAAAGAATGAAGTTGTACCCCTCACACCATATATGAACACTATTTCGAAGTAGGTCAAAGATGAAATACAAGAGCCCAAACCATACAACTTTGAGAAGAAAACATAAGAGGTATTCACGACCTTGGATTATGCAATGGTTTCTTCTGTATGACATCAAAAGCCCAAGTAAGAAAAAACAGATAAAGTAGACTTTATCGAAATTAAAAAAAAACTTCTGATAAGGGGATCCCTGGATGACTCAGCAGTTTAGCACCTGCCTTCGGTCCAGGGCATGACCCTGAGTCCCAGGATCGAGTCCCACGTCGGGCTCCTCACATGGAACCTGCTTCTCCCTCTGCCTGTGTTCTGCCTCTCTGTCTGTCTGTCTCTCTCTCTCTCCCCGTGTCTCTCATGAGTAAATAAATAAAATCTTAAAAAAAAAAAAAACAACCTTCTGATAAGATGAAGAAAGTAAAAAGGATGGAAAGAAACAGAGTGGGAGAAAATAACTGCAAATCACGTAACTGACAAGAGATTTATATCTGAAACATATATACAACTTAATAATAAAAAGACAGCCCAACGGTTGGTTGGGCAAAGAATCTGAACAGATGTTTCAGTAAAGAAAATAGTGTAAATAAGCACATGAAAAGATACCCAATCTACCCTATCACCAATCATCAGGGAATGCTAATCAAAACCACAATGAGACATCAATTTACATCCACTATAGGACAACTATAATAGAAAAGCTATCAAATGATAACAAATGTTAGCTAGAGTTTTAAAAAATCAGAGTCCTCATATGTGGGGTATGGAGATTGAGCTGTAAAATGGTTTAGCTGCTTTGGAAACCAGTCTGGCAGGTCCTCAAAAAGTTAAAAGAGTTATTACCATGTGGTCCGGCAGCTCTACTCCAAGGCATGTATCTAGAAGAAATGAAATTCTATGTCCACTCAAAAATTTGTATATAATAGTCAGAGGATGGAAACCATTCAAGTGTCCATCAATTGGAGAATGAATAAAATGTGGTACATTTGTATCATGGAATACTATTCAGCCATAAAAAGGAATTAATTACCAATACATGCTACAAGAAGGAAACTAGAAAATATTACACTAGATAAAAGAGGCTAGTCACAGGGGATCCCTGGGTGGCTCGGCGGTTTAGCACCTGCCTTTGGCCCAGGGCGTGATCCTGGAGTCCCGGGATTGAGTCCCGCGTTGGGCTTGCAGCATGGAGCCTGCTTCTCCCTCTGCCTGTGTCTCTGCCTCTTTCTCTCTCTCTCTATCATGAATAAATAATAAAATCTTAAAAAAAAAGAAGCCAGTGACAAAGGACCACATATTGTATGATTTCCTTTATAAAATATAGACAAACCTATAGAAACAACAGAAAGTAGATTAGTAGCTGCTTAACTAGGGGCAGATAGGGAGTTTAGCATGGGTAACAGCTAAAAGCTGTTCGGCTTCTTTCTGGGGTAATGAAGATGTTCTTTTTTTTTTTAATGAAAATGTTCTAAAGTTGATTGCGGTGATGATGGCCCAAATCTGTGAATATATTGAAATCACCTAATTGTATACTTTAAATGGGTGAATTGCAGGTAATTTTCAATTGAATTTTCTGAATTTTATCTCAAAGCTGTTACCAAAAAAAATATAAAATATTAGGAGCACCTGCGTGGCTCAGTTAAACATCCACCTCTTGATTTTGGCTCATGGGACGGAACCCTGTGTTGGGCTCCACACACAGCATGGAGTCTGCTTGAAGATTCGTGCGCGCTCTCTCTCTCTCTCTCTCAACCCCACCCCCGTGTGTGATGGTCTCTCTCTCTAATAAATAATTTTTAAAATATATATAAAAAATAGTAAAAATAATGTATAAAATTTTGACAATTACAATAAAATAAATGTACATCAAGTAGAATATTTCCAATTGTAAAGATGATAGAATGAAAATGTTTCTGCCCACTTCTCCCTAAAACACACTAATGGGAAGTCAGAACAGGGAGAACTAAATTAGAAAACTGACCCTCATACCTCTTTACCACCAAGCTGCAAAGGAAGGACAAGGGTGATTGTCCACTGCTGGTCTCTGCTTTTCTGAAGGGGAGAAATGGATAAAGCACTCACACACATGCACACTCACAGATGCCTGCACTCATATACACCTGCACACTCACATGCACTCACACGTGTGGACACACACAAACACACCTACCCACGCATAAATCTGGGAATCAAGGAAGGGCTGCTTGCTCCAGGCTGCACACACCCTCCAGGCCTCTGCCCCATTATCCAGTTGCAAACAACTGGTTCAGGAAGAATTCCCTCCACTCAGGGAGATGGAACTCAGGATCTACATCCTGAAATTTAAAACAGGAAAACTTGTCCCTTCGGAGCTTCATGGAAGAAAATAAAAATAAAAAAATACAACAGGAAAACAGAAAAAGAAATAAAATGAG